GACAGGCCACTGTTACATGATCCAGACAGGCCACTGTTACATGATCCAGACAGGCCACTGTTACATGATCCAGACAGGCCACTGTTACATGATCCAGACAGGCCACTGTTACATGATCCAGACAGGCCACTGTTACATGATCCAGACAGGCCACTGATACATGATCCAGACAGGCCACTGTTACATGATGCAGACAGGCCACTGATACATGATCCAGACAGGCCACTGTTACATGATCCAGACAGGCTGCTCCGAACATGCTGCTCTAGACACGCTGCTCTAGACACGCTGCTCCAGACATGCTGCTCCAAGCAAACTCTGGGGACATGTATCAAACAAGCCAATGTGCGTGTTCTAGACAGGCTGTTTTATATTTCCATTACTAAACAAATTGTAATATTAATATCAATATCAACAGGCATGCGACAGTACGTGGATATATACATGGTTTGGTGACTATTGATGTTCAGAATGAAAATAATGACAAGCTTTCAAAACAAACGACAGAAGACATTCAGATGAACATTAAGAAGTTACTAAATTGTCATAAAACTAAAAGGTAAATTTTTTCTAATATTAAAATATCATTCCAAATATGCATTGAACAATGCGTCTGTATGAATATTCATGTATTCAAATCAGCTCTAAAGATTAATACAATGTATCAGTTTCTACCAGTACATTCAAACAATGGAGGGTGTATTTAAAGTGCCTTTGAAATGCCCACCCACGCAATTGGGATTTGTGTTTCACTGAAATAGAAAGTTATTGTGTTTTTGGTTGAAAATGATTACTCATGTTCAAGTAAATTAAACCTGGCACAGTATTAACACTTTTCAAAGAACTAGATTCCGGACCAGCCCATATTCACCTCATCGGCTTGCAAAGAGAGGGAAATGTTGGGTAAGTGCTTTGTTTCGTGAATGTTTTAGGAATCCGAATAACGTTTAGTAGAGACCGTATAGTTTTGTTATGTAAGAGGTAGCAAAAACGTGATGCGCAAACCGAAGCGTCTGCCAAACAGGAAATTACGCAGCACTTGCACATCCGCAATTGTTTTTAATTGCCTTCTGTTTATAAGTTTCTGAATTTTTTTGTGATTAGTGTTGACTTCACACTTCTACATGTATAAACTTATCTTGCAATTTGATCTGCATAATAAGTGGGTGGTCAATATTTTGCGACTACATATTTTTTAATGATGTGATGTCATAATTATGACAATCAGATAACTCAAATCACACTCTGAATTTTTGCTGTGTTTTGCTCTCCATTATTTTTATTATCCAATCAAACGCCTCCATTCATGCACTTTTTCCTCATCATGACACGTTCACCCATTTCAACAAGATGTCAATTTTTTTACTGGCATGCAGCTATCATTTAGTAACTGTGATTTATGAATCATCGACTCGTTATATAATTTTTTTTATTTCTCTACTTCATTGATCGCAATAGTTCAATGTTTAGAATGTTTTTTATTTTTACTTTGATTTGTTTTTCACTTAAGCAATCAATGGAATACGTCAGTGTATGAACTTATCCAGTAACCTGACAAATAACTAGAAGACAAGACAGACGTCAAACTCGACAAACTTGGAAAAAATCGAAATAGAGATCGAGAAGAGTTTCGTGGCAATAGATGTCGGCACTTCAACCAACTTCATCGAACAATACAAGTGACTCTGATTGTGCAGTTAAGTCGATCGCGGCGACCAGCTACACCAGTATCTAACTCAACCCTATATGACAAACTTGATAATATGTGTTCTTTATGGACCACTCTTCCTTGAAAAACAAGTACATGAGTGGAAATCTAGTCAAACACAAGAAATTTGAATACGAAATGTGCATTGTATACATTATCAATAATTGACACTGACCAGCAAGTTTCCCTTCATACGTCACAAAGAGGATTTGTAAAGGGGTATGCAACTGGGTTAATGAGGAGCCTCTTTTTAAAATTTATTTTGTACTTAATAACATAAAAAATAGCAGTATTGATATACAAATAAATGATTTTGGGCCAGAAAATAGCAGGGATTTCACAGGCACTTTAAGTTAGTGAGTTTTAAGTATTATAGCAACATGGAAAATGTTTTGATCTTGTACGTCAATTCACAAAAATAATGGATCAATTTAGATTCAAATCAATTCTACTTAAAATCATTGTCATTGATTCAGGCTATGTACCAGAATTTATTTACACATTTATTTTGCTTTCAGGTTTCCTGCTATTCAACGTGGTGGAAAAATTGATCGTTATGTTCCAACAGCTGTTGATCTTCTTGTCGAATATGATTTTGATGAGTGTGTTTATGAAACCAATTCGCCGTACCAAAATATTAAAATAATGCATTCCCAACAGTTTGGCAATATGTTATTGCTTGATGACGATCCAAGTAAGTTTGATGGCTTTACCAAACCTCAGGTCATATACTGTTATATGAACACTGTAACAGGAATTAATTCTTCTTGTACTGTTACAATGCTGGATTTATTTGGGTTTGAAAATCTAAATGTATTACCGATTTGATTTGGACAATACAAAAAATAGTCTTTTTAGTAACACATGGGTCAACTTAAGGTGAACGGTGTATGGCTATATTACAGTATATATTCATCAGAGCCGCTACCCATACGTTGTGGGGAGACGGCGTGTTGCATTTTCACCACTATACTTTATTGTATTTTCCACTTTATGAACGACGGTTGTTTCTATTTCGTGTTTTATTCATAAGGGTTTCATTCATCATAGTGGGGGAAAAGGTGTGTAGC